AGACTATGTTCGATTATATCACTATCGACTCGGCGATGGAACAAGTCAATCTTGATGGTGCACTATTACAGTCGACGTCATTCGAACAGTATGATCATGTGGCAAAATTTGACATGATGTTGACACTGTTTCAGCATCCGTCAGATAGGTTGTCTTGTTCATTGATTTGTTCGCAGGACGTTTTTAGCGAGAAAACTGTTCAGACACTCGCTGATCGATTTTTGTCACTTCTGAAACTGCTTTTTGCGCCTGCCAGACTGTGTATGACGAAATTACCACTTTATCATATGTCCATCATTGTTCCAGAGGAACGACAGATAATAAATGCGCTCAAGACCAAGGATATTAGCCGTGTGCAGCTAGCGGATGGAACCGTTCGCAATTTATTCATTAAAACAGCACGTACTTATTCTCAAAAGATAGCGGTAGAACTAGATGAACAATCTTTAACGTATAGCGAGCTTCTATTTTATGTGCAACAATTCTCTCTTGTTCTTATCGGTACACATAGCGTATGTGTGGGTGAGATTGTTTGCCAGTGTGTTGAAAGAAGTTTGTCAATGGTGAGATAATGGTATAGAATCATTTATTACAGTTATGAGGTCATATTTTCTAGGTGATCGGTATGATGGCGATCGAAATGGCTGGTGCAGTGTATTGTCCATTGTCTCCTGAAGAGCCTGTTAGACGTTTGCAGTCTCTGGTGGAAGAAACCCGTAGTCGTCTTGTAGTCATACATAACTTGACACGCGATAAATTCAATGCCTGTGTTTCTACTGTGCTTATCGACGCATCGATGTCTACAGAAAACATGCTGAATGCCAATGAGCTTGATCGCCTCTCAAACGTTTTTCTGAGCGGTGATAACATATCGTATGTTATCTTCACAAGTGGATCAACGGGTACACCAAAAGCCGTGAGTAGACAAAACTACGAAACAACTATATATTTCCAATGTTGTTCTGGTATTAGATTCAAGTGCGTCATCGAAATTTAACGGAGGCGATTCGCTCACAGGTAGAGCTGAACACGCTCAGCAAAAGTGATACCTTGTTACAAATGGCTCGATGCTCGTTCGACGTGCATGTTGGCGACGTAATCGGAACGTTGATAGTCGGCGCAACTCTTGTAATGCTCCACCCAGATGGTCACATCGATTTTGAATACCTGAGTCAAGTGTTAATAGACCACCAGATTACATATATGGAAGCTGTGCCTACTTTACTGACAAGTTTCTTCCACTATTTAGAAGATAACATGTGCAACTCTGCCAGAAGATTCTTAAGATCTCTGTGCTCCGGCGGTAAGGAAATCTAGATTATCTGACAGCCAAAATTACCCTGTCTGATCTATCTGTTAAGGCGAGCCTATATTTCCTCAGTTGATCAAATTACTCCGAAGGAACGTTCAAACAACGTGTCGTATTTGGAACTCGTACGGTCCCGCAGAAGCAACCATCAATTGTACCTTTCACCTGCTCGATTGCGAGGATGAGCAAAGCACTGTTCCAATCGGCAGACTACTACCTGGCTATCGGTGTGTTGTTATCGATCAGTTCTTAGAACCCGTCTTCCTTGGACAAGAAGGCGAACTTGTGGTAGGTGGCATTGGTGTGTTCGCTGGCTACCTGGGAAGCGACAACTTGACGAAGCATGCTCTCATAGACATCGACGGCGAATTGTTCTACCGAACAGGCGATCTTGTTCGGTTAAGTAGTAGTGGTGTACTTAACTTTGTTGGTCGTAAAGACTATCAAATTAAATTGCGAGGGCAACGAGTCGAACTCGGGGAAATCGAACGCTGCTTACTAGAGTCTTCCCCGTTTGTTTCATCTACTGCCGTCGTTAAGTACGACGATCATCATTTGGTTGCTTATATCCAAAGTAATAATATTGAAGAAAACGAACTAGCTAAATATTGTCGATCACATCTACCGTCCTACATGGTCCCGTCGGCGTTCGTCGTGCTCAAACAATTTCCGTTAAATGCAAATGGCAAGCTCGATAGGAAACTTTTGCCGAAGCCCAGCTTTTCCGGCTTATCGACTGTCAACCATCTATTTCAAAACCATAAGCCCAACTTAGAGCCCAACAGCGAACTAGAAATGCGCCTTCATTCACTTTGGTGCGAAGCTCTACAATCAAATCACATTTCTACTAGCGATAGTATTTTCACCATCGGCGGACACTCTCTCACTCTCATTCACCTCTACGCCCGCTATAAGAAAATCTTTGGCTTCAATACACGCCATATTACTATCGGCCAGATATTTCAACATCCAACAATATCCGACCACGCTTATCTCATCAAACAGGCGCTAAGTGCCGAGCAACATCAGGAAGAATGCTGGCCATCACTACACATCGATCAAGGTATTGATTCACCCTAACATCAGCACCGATATTAATTTTTCCCGTCTAGGTCAAGTGTCGTTTGCTCAAGAACGCATCTTTCTCGATGAACGAATTCGCTTCAGCTCACAAGGCAATCGTATGTATACTGTTCCGCTGCTCTATCGCATCTCGCCTAGCAACAATCATGTGTCGATCTCTCGATTGCGCCGAGCGCTTCGAGCTGTCATC